TTGTAGACCCAATTACGCACACCTAAGACGAGTAAGTCTTGAGGAAACAAAAAAATCCATAACAACTAGCTACGGACCAGAAACAGTTTCCGTGAAAGTTGCAACGCATCAATGTTGCTCTGGTCAGATTCGCAGGCGTTTACAATGTGTACAATATAAGTGTACAATGTAAATATAACAATCGTCAAGATGATGAAGGGTAAAAAGGCGGAAAATGAAAAGAAAAATGAACCGCCTTATTTTACTAAATCTGTTGCTAATCCTACAAGAATAAATTGAAGTATATTTGGAAAATTCTCAGTGAGAGGCATGGGTCGCACTTGGCAAAGTTTTGGAAAAATTTGTTTACCTTGCGGTAGAAATCTGTCATCAGGAGACATTGCCAAGTGCGACCCCAAGTTTTCCGGTTGGAAAAAAACTTTGCGAAACAGAAAAACATCAAAGATGCCGAAGTGCTTGGGTGGGGCAGGCAGATTTTGGAAAACTCGAGCTAAACAATAGGAATCACGGCGGTAAGTGTCAGCACTTGTCAGCGAAACGTGACCAATTTGAAACACGATCAATTTGAATCAATCGTTGAAATTTTCTGACCTTCGCGTTTTCGTTGTGGACGGACGAGGCTACCACTAATTTTCGCCATTTTAACGTTTTTGCGAAAACTTTCTACGGGCGAGCAATTCATAAGCTTGTAATCCTTCGCTATTTCAACGTTTTTACGGGAACTCTCTACAGGCGAGCCAATTATAGTCTACCCAGGCACCGTCACAGGTTTGTTATTCTGCGAGCTAAATGCAGTCTTTGCAGCCAAGCACTTTATTTTCTTTATTTCTCCCATCCTCCTGAAACTGGGAAAGGAGGAAAACGATCCTACGCCAAATGATCGCACTGCGAAGAGATAATGTTCTCTGGTATCTGGCCTACTTTAGTTCTCAATGTGTCAAAACAACGACAATTAACTCCCACTAGTAAATACTAGTGCGACCCTCCTCGATTTGACTAAAAGTTTTCTTTTCCGGTTGCGGTTTCGAATTTTCGTGGTTTTTTAGCCGGCAAAGATGAAAACTTTTCCCAAGTGCGACCTGTGCCACAGTCAATAATATTGAATGACTTCCTGTAGGACGTCATGAGGACGTGCCTCTATTTTTTTGTAGTCGTGTTTTAATGACTGGAAATTAATACAGGAAAAAATATACCTTACCTGTCCCCGTAGCACTGACATTTGGCGTTCAAACAAAGATTTATCAAAGCCCTTATCCTCCTGTTAAGGAAAAAAAAAAGACAGTAATGACTATTAGTTGAAAAAGACATGTTACTTTATTTCTATTCAAACTTTTCTACCCAATATAATCTTGCCGAGTACATACCCGAAAAAGAAGGTAAAGATCATCCGTTAGATCCTGTACAAAATTCATATCGGAAAGAAGCGGTAAAATAAGCTCACATATCTCCTCCAAAAATGGCTCTTTAGCTTGTGTTAGCCATGCCCAGTGAAATGGATCTGCGAGATAAAAGGGATATGTTTAAATGAAGATATGATCGTCGCAGTGGTAATTCTGTGTTTTCACTCACGTTTCCAGCATCTATGCAAATTTATTGGAACAAAAGAAAGCGTTCACATAAGAAAAGAGTTCAACTCCCACAGGACTGGTTTGGGACACAAACATGGCAGCCGTTTTATTTTTTGGGGACACAAATATGGCTGCCATGACGTCATGTGAAAACACACAATTGCAATTTAAGCAATTGCAAATTAACCCGAAAATATTTTGGGACTTTAACGGGATTCGAACCCATGGCCTCTGCGTTAACACTTCAGTGCTCCACCAACTGAGCTATGAAGACCCATACATTGGGAGCAGGCAAATTGGTTGAGTTCATTCCTTTCACGGGTTAAGATGAACTCAACAAACTGGCCTGCTCCCAATGTATGGGTCTTCAGGGCTCAGTTGGTAGAGAGCGGTGCAGTGCTAACGCAGAGGCCATGGGTTCGAATCCCGTTGAAGTCCCGAAATTTTGGGTTAATTTGCAATTGCTTAAATTGCAATTACCACTGCGATGATCATATCTTCATTTAAATTTGTATTTCCGCAGTTCAGATCACCTTCAAAAAGAACACAGTAATGCAAAACATACATGTACGCCAGTGCTGAGCTCTTGCAGGGCCTTATGGCCCACGTGACTTTACATGTACTTTCTTGTCTTTATGATCCAAGAACTTCTTATACAGCAAAGATAATTATCATAGAAAAACATTTTTTCAAATCAATATACTTACAAGCACGCCAAGAGTCAGGGTGTTTGAAAGGAAACGCCAGTCCATTGTCGATAGCAGCCACATATATTTTGGGAGGATCCACATAATCCCAGTCACCCTGTTAACAAAAGAGTTCATTCATAAAGTATTTAATTTATTCATTGAAACAATATATTTCACTACTTCCGATTGACTCAAATCCCCTGGCTAATTCTTCATAACCAGCCAGCTCTGACCAAATTTGGTAGACCTTTGTGAATATCAATTAAAACATTGTCAATAATATACAACTACCCCCTGAAGGGGAGGTGAATAGTGGTGGATATATACCCAGAAGTGAAGCGTCGAGGTATATATCTAGCACTGTTCACTGACCCTGAGGGGGATAGTTGTTTTAGTATTTACCAAACTCAGTTGGATAAAAACGAAAAAAGTTACTTTTGTAAATAAAAAACGTCACTTAGTAGGAACTTTGTTTACAATTACCACATATTTGGGGATTTTGTCAAGTGCATTTTTATGATTTTGTTGCAAATTCAGCATGAAAATAATTTTCTAACTACCAGTAAACACTGACTAGCCAAAGCTTGTCACTTCCTCTGCATTTGTATGTATGGCTGCTTCATTCATTGTTCCAATTTCGTCTTTCCGAACATGTCTAGAAACAATATGTCATTTTGGCTCCAGTCGCAAAACAGTGAATAGCCAAGGATATTCCGAGTTACCGGAGCCAATCAAAACACGCAAAAANCAAAAAGGGGCCTGGATAATGACTTCCTTGACAATACTGATGTATCTAATGATACTTATGCTTTTTGCAGCACTTTGAATTTTGTAAAATAGTTTTATATTGCAGAGCAAATTATTGTATTTACCTGTATTTCTAATAATATAATCTAGACAGACAAGTTTTTGAAACTGAAGAATAAATTCTTTGTGTGTAACAGCTGGAAGTGCTTCCACCTCAAACTTTCTCAGATGAAACTCGGCATCTTTATAACCCTCTACAAACAGCTGAAAAGAGCCAAGCTGGAAAACAAAAAGTTTCCAAAGACATTAGTATCCTGTCCTGTATTTATATTGCTCCTTACAAGCTACAAGTGTAAGAATAATTGAAAGTACATGTACACTGTATTGTTGATTTCTAATTTTCAGTTATTAGAAGTAAACTTGAGTTTTCTTTTGGTAGATATATGTTGCTGACCAGTAGAAAATTTGGCTTTCTCTACTCACTATGTATAAGGTCACAGATATGGAAAGGAAAGTGCATCAGCCAATGAGAATGCTGCATTTGCAGTACACGTGTACATGTTCCAGTGAAGGTTCTTAAATAATTCCTAGTTCTTAGACTCAGGTATTTATACAACTCAAAATGGTAGGACCTTGCATAGATTAATTTGCTATAAAACAGAAAGTGTAGATTGTCTTATTTAGAATGACTCTACAGTTCTTCCAGAGAGGTTTTTACGAGAGGTCTTAGGAGTGGGTATGTTGTCAGGGTTCTATCTAAGATGGCTATGAGCTTCTTGGAGGGTCTGCGGGCATGGCCCTCCAGAAATTTTCTGAAATGAATATGTGCTGAGATGCAATCTGGTTCATTTTGAGACACAATTGTGAGAAATGTTACAGTATGTGCACTGACCTTGTCACATCTGGATGATTTTTCTGATATAGTTACTTATATACTGTGATGATAACAATATTTATTGCCAAAAACAAAAGGAAATAAAATTTAAACCATTGATAAAATTGAACCACAACATATATACAATGTCAACTAGACTGTACTCTAAAACAAGAGTAATGATCAGTGTAAAGGTCTCTGGTTATTTTACTAGGGATTTGCCTCAATGCAATACAGGTATTGATAACAGGCATGTTATACTTTTTAGCAACATCATGAAAAAAAGAGGTCCTTTGATTGTTTGCTGTGACCAGGATACCCAAGAGTATGTAATGAGAACGTTTTATGCTGGCACTTTGTAACCTTACTATAAACCTCACCTTAGCAGGTAGTCCGGCTTTAACATGCTTTCCTAAAGTATCTGGAAATCTTTCTGTTGCAAACTTTTTTGACCTTGCCTTTGCACGATCAAATGCAGTGTAGTTAAATGTTGGACTAGCAAGTCTTACGACCTGAAAGAAAAAAGAAAGTACAGTGTTTTTAAATCTAATAATCTGTATACTTTATGCTTTTTAACCTAAATCCAGGTTCAAGCCTTGCTACGATATTTTTTCCTAGACAAGACAAATTGACACAATATATAAATATTTTTTTTGTAAATGTTATGTATTATTGCTCCATGTTGCCTCTCTTAATCCAGGTGTATAAATGGGCACCACTAGCATACGGCAAGGGGAAAACCCCACAACGGACTGATATCCCATTTAGGGTTGGAGGGGGGAGGAAAAAAGCACTGGCTTACCTGCACATTCGTAGTCAAAAGTCTAAGGTGCGACCATTGACATTAAACAGGTCATTAAACTCCTGAGGCTAAGGGTTTCAAAGAGCCACCTAGTGGCAGTGTCCAGTTTGGCTCTCACTGCTGGTGTTGAATTATAACTGAATCTCACATCAAATTCATTATGCCCTTGACTGTCATATTTCAACTCAATTTTATGTGCAGAACACTGAAAATTACATTTCCAAGCCTCCAGATTGAAAAATTTTCTGAAGAGCTGGGGTTGGGGGGCGGGGGGAAGGTATATGTTGTCGTTTCTTTTATCTTAGATAATTTCTATTTTTCTTGGTTTCAACTTCATAAGCATACATTACCATAACCAAAAACAAAAGAAAAACAAAAATTAACTGAGATAAAAAATTAACTATGACATACAGGGGCGGATCCAGGATTTTGTTTAGGAGGGGGTGCACTCGTCTCTTGCTCTATTTCAACACCAATAAACCACATAGTTTTTTTTTTGCAGAATACCAGTTGCATTAGAAAACCGCAGGTCATCTCAGGGATGTCCCTGACATATGGGTTATCCCTGACATATACACTTTCAGGTCCCCCTTAGAGGAATGGTTAGGGTCATAATATCAGAAGCAATGCACAATAATTACTATGTAAATAGCAATTAAACATGAATGAACATCATCCTTTATGATAAAATGTGTCCCTCACCGAGAGGCATTAACCTGTCGGCAGTAGTTATTGGCTCTCACCTTTGTTTTAGGGACAACATTAAGACCAAGTTTACCATCAACCAGGCTTGCTCCTGCCTCAGATAAATATCCCTGATTTGGAATTAAACAATTTCTACCAAAACAGCAAGGACAACAAATCTTGTGACACCATTTTGTCCATTTAGGGTTCAAGTGTCCATAAGGTTCCTCATCCTTGGGTTTGAATACACCAATCTTTTTCTGCAAATAATACAGTGTAAAACATAAAGGTACATGTACATTGTTCAAAACAACAGTTGTTTTTATTGCTGGAAGTGGAATTTGGGCAAGAAATCAAGCAAAAAGGTCAGGCCCAACTTGTTGAAAAGAAGGAAAACACGGTCTCCTGGATTAATCTTACTCCAGTGGATAATGCAATTAAAATATTCTCTAAACCTTATTCAGTGAAAAGTGATTTATCTGGTGGATAGTGCTGTCCAATTATCTCGAACAACTGGGCCTGCACTTTAACCACTTAAAGAAAAATTGGTGCACTCACACGCAAACGATAGCAAGTTCCTAATAATTACAGCCCCCAAGATGCACTTATGAGAAACAATTAAGTCTTAAATTTAATATAAACAAACAAATTCATATAACATGTACATGTATAAGCTATGCGTTTCACATACAATGGTAAATATTATTTATCAATAATATATGAGTTAAATATTAATTCCACAGTTTTAACAACGACAAATGTGATAATGTTTGCAAGAAATTGCATGGCACCCAGCAAAAATTCTTTCAAGCAAAATGTCAAAAGTATAAAACCTGTTTCAATGCCCACATGCGACCATGACCTTGCATAAAACGAAACCGGAACTGAAAGTTAAGTTAATTTAGAAAATTAAGTAAGATAACACACCACAAATTTAACCATATTTGTCTGTTATGGATCTCAATATCGTCTGCCACGGCGTGTAGAGATAGGAGTTAAATAAGTCTGCAAAAACTAAAAATCACTGAGAACTTACCCCTTCCCTGTCCTTCACAAAGTAACTTCCACTCGACCCCTGGTAAATTCGTTCGGGCAAAATGCCTACATCAATCGCTTGTTCGGCCGCATGTATGATGCCTGTAAATTCAGGATCATCGAAATGGTTTCCTTGGTATTCAGAATCACTGTGACTGTCCATTCGTGATCTAGATCTGCCAAGTAAAGGTCTCTGTTCAGAAGTTCTGTTATCGTAATAACGCGAGCCGCCGACGATAGCTGTACTGTAACTTGCCGGGTCGGCGTGATAAGGAACTACATCGGGCCCATTAGGGCGGCCGTCGGAGACGAAATCGATCAGTGGACGCCCTCCTTCGTCTACTGACATCTAAATCTTTAATTCAGGAGCCTTGTTTAGAAATTTTCCAATCGTTTTGTGGGCATTTCATTCGTAGAAATTGCCACTAAAATGGCTCTATTTTGGTTTCTTACAAAATGTCATGATTTCATCTCGTGACACGCATGCTTTAGTTTGCGTGTAATCTACCGCTGACCGGTAGCCGGAAGTGAATCGCCTGATTTTCTTTCCGACCGCTTTCAAATTTCTTCCCTTGAATATCGTTCCCTAAGAAACAGTAACAATAATGCCTATTCTTTTTACACGGCTTCGCAGTGTCGTTTTGTAAATTCGAACCTTCGATGAGACAGCTCTTTTCCTAGGGTATTTGAGGTGCCAACGTGGCTACAGAAAACTAGGTTCTTCGGTTGATTCGCCCGATACATGTGTATATAATGTTTTAAATGAAATGCTCAGTTCAAATTACCTTTGCAAGGTTTTGACTATGTTTTGAAGGGATGCAGCCACAGGGCTAGAAAACTCGAACACGTTTCCTTGACGTTGTTATCTTAAATGATCTCAGTGTTTCAAAGGACCGCCGGAAACTAGGGCCTTTAGTTACAGTGGCAACTTAATTAATATAGGCACTGAGTAAAACTCACCTGTCTTGAAATAATTTTAGATCAATTTTAATCCCTGTTTCAGAAGCTTTTAAACTGCATAAGCAATCCCGTTGTACAGCCTTGGAAGCGAAGCTTGCATAATCAGCTGTATGCAAATAATTTTTCAGCGTGCAATCATTTTAATGCAAAGCACGACATGGACTTTGCCGTAACACGAACTTGATGAATAGAAAGATGCATAATTGAATGGAAAGAGGAATAAGGTGTAAAGCAGATTTGAAACGTAAATAACGTCTACAACTATCAAAAAAGGTGCAACTTTTAATATTTTTTTTTTGTGTCGACCAGTTTTCCATAACAATTATACGTGTTTTGATCCATTACCCTGAGCGCTTACTTTCGGTGAAAAATTTCCGTCAAATGGTCGAATGGTACTGGTATTTTTTTTGGCTCCAAAAGCAGGATCGAGATTGAGTTGTACCACTTACAAATGCCGGTAAATTTTTTGCTTTCTCTCGACTTTGAGCGCGGAAATTTCCACTGGTATGAACCGTCCCATTTGAGTTCTCCTTGGAATTTCCTGGTTTTCCATACAAAAGGTAAGCGTTCCCTATGTCAGTATGAAGATTTACAGGTATTCATAGTGCCAAAGGATCAGAGTATTGTACATAAAGTAAAAACGTAATAACAAGATAACCTCCGAAGAGAAGGTGGTGAGGGAAAAAACTCAGTTGTGAACGAACCGCGAATCCTTAAAGGAATTAGCTGAGAAAAAGGCGGTGTGTATTAGGGGAGCACATGTGAACAATAAACATGTGATAACGTGAAAGAGGCCTTTGGAGAATTCAGTGTTTTTCCGATAACTGTGTTATTTGTCTGGGGGGAACGAAAACTTGAAGTAACCCAGGTGGGGATTGTTCTTTGTTGCTCCTGTACTTAAGACTAAATTTCGGATTTCTTCACCGTTACTGAATAACACACGAGAGCGCTGTATGTAGACTCTAAGTTGCCTAGTTCCTAGGCCTAAGTATTCCGCACGGCCAAAGCGTTTCGGGTCACGTGGTCCAAGCGAAAATGTGAGGGTGTTTCCCACCCTTGGTCTTGGATGAACAATCCTTCAATAAGAACGACCGAGACTCGGTTTTATGAGACAGCGAGACTGAGCACCCCACCTAAACCCTTGTTTTCACTAAAACCGCTGGACGCCACTACCTGGTTGAAGTCGTTGTTATCTAAGGTCTTTCGCCTCGCATACCTCACCGAAGTGAATTGACAGAGAGGGAGTGGGAAAACGCAGTACAGGGACTAGGCAAGACTCTCAAGTATGTAATCCGGAACTTTCCCCTCCCCCCAGGTCTCACCAGCTCTTATTACTGCACGGCCCAATCTCGTGAACTAATTTCTACAGCCTGAATAATATATTATTATGAAATATTACTTTTAAATACTATAAAACTGAAATCAACGGCCGCATTTTTATATAACTAATACAGTTCTAAACATTTCATGAACTGATTTTTCTTAGCTTGTAGACTGTCATCAAACTAGTTCTATGTCGCAGACGCTGTCAGTAAGTCTATTGGTTATTTATTAGCTACTCAGTTGAAATTGACGTTAGGGTTCGTATACGGATCTGAAACTGAGACCACGCAAGGTTAGTTGCATATATGTCAAGCTTAATTACTCAACACACTGTCTCAACCAGGCTGACCACTCGAAAGTAATTCGCCAATCACAGGTGGCATTCATGAGAGAGTATGTCTGGCGTTGTTTTTCAATAAAAACTAAGAATATTTCTTTCATTTCTCTAAAGTGTTTACTGAAGATCGCTTTAATGTTTTGGATCACAAATAGCCGGGCTGACCCGGATGATCCAACGTATAGTACCACTGCATGAGCAGGATTTTCATTTCCGCTTGCTTGCTGAAACAGGCTTTGTTTAGTAAAGACAAGTAAAAGGTTCTGCACACCGATGGGTTCTTTGTATGTTTCCTGGCGATCATTTCTTCTATTCACGTGATATGTCCTTTCAAGTTTAACTATGATGGTTCTTAGGGCTTGTTTTGTATGAAGTGAACCAGCCCGATTAGCCGCGTTAGTTCGGCTCATCTCTTGTTTCCTCATCATAATATTGTCACATGTTTATATGAGAAGGCGGGCTGGCCCACTCCGGCCGAGATCTCGGTTTCTCATATAAACACAACGACAATTTTAAGACGAAACTAGGTGGGGGTGAGCGACCCCTGTGAAGCGGGCCAGCCAGGCTAAACGGGCTGCCTTACTTCATATAAACAGGCCCTTAGGCAGGCTGTTTTAGATTTAAAAAATTTGTAAGTCATTACGAAAATGAACTAAACAAAGACAACATTTGTCAACTATCTTTGCTCATAACTGAATCATCATCGTCGTCATCATCTGTCTCGAATTCTTCTTCATCACCTGCTTCGGAGTCGTCCTCATCGGATTGAGCGTCAGAGTCTCCACCATCTTTTGAAGCGATTCGGTTATAAATCCAAGGATACATCTCACATTCACAGCAAGACCTTAGTTCCTGAGCGTATGACTCCCAAACTTCTTTGTAAACAGTTTTTCCCACAACGATGCTTAACAGCTTGTCTTCCACAAACTCGCCTTCAAATTTCAAAAACGATAAATGCAATGTCCGTTGGAAGCATAACCCCATCTTTGCGGCGCATTGATGGTCTGCGTCGTCACAAATTACTTCATTTATGTATCTGGGGAATTTGTCTTTGCCGAGATTCGTGGTTGCCGAGCATTCGGTGCATAATCGATGAAGATTAGTTTCATATACTTTTGTGCCTCGATCTTCGCACTGACGAATTTCAGTGCCGGTAGGGGAGCTGGTCGGGCCATCCCTTTGATGAAGCAAATCTGATTTTAATTTTGTTGCTTGAGATTTTCTCGAGAAACGTAGCTTTTTCGATTTCTTTGGAGTATTTGTTTCTTCGTTTTGAAAAGTTGTCAAATCTTCAAACTTGGCTGCATCTGATTTGTTCACTGCCACATATCTTTTTAAAAACCCTCCAGCAGATTCTAGTTGTTTCAGTAGCTCTTCGGATGTTCTTCGCAAGCATACGACTGGTCCAGGCTCGTCTTGAATTCGAGAAACCCTTGTGTGGTTCCGACAGATTTTCTTTCCTAACGATGGTATATTAGTGATCCTTGTAGGGGGATTTGTTGTTGGATTCCTACTTCGATGTTTGTATTTTCTCCTAGTCCGCGTACGTCGCACGTGAGCTATCCAGCCTTTTGATACTCCACGAACAGTACTTCGTGGCTCGTTTTTGACTTTATTTTTCATCTTTTTTTCTCCATCTTTAATTCCACCTGGATGAAAACTAGCACTGTATACCACGATGAGGCTCGCAATTAGAAGAAAGATTCTTACAGGACTGAATGCTCTAGGCTGAAAGAATAAGTTAGGAGGATGCTTTAAAAAAGACACGAGACAATTTTAAACTTACTTAACCGGCGTCACGAAAGTCTACACGAATGCCATTAAATTCAAGTACTGTATCTTTGTAACGCTTGATAGCAAACGACTGACGCAGAAGGGCAAGAAAACTAAAGAGATTACACCATTCAAAAAGCTAATATTCTTTTCTTTCAAGGTTCCACTGCGTCGTTTTTCATCCAGTTAGGTGTATTTTGTACCATGTGACCGTTTCATTCTGCAAAGAGCCCATTATACAACGCCTCATTCAATTCATATTCCTGGATCTCCTTTAGGACTGGCACGATTGAAATAAGTTCGACCGCTGATCGGTGCGTCACCCCCAAAGTCGAGCTTTGTGTTAGTCATGACGATCACATAACATTCGTACCTGGCCACGTTTTCACTTTCTTCACGTCAGATATGGCATGCATTACATAAAGGCTCTTATTTTCGTGAGTTCAAATGATATTGCGAGAGAGAGTCTAACATCGCTTATTTATTTGCCACCCCACGTAATGATCAACTCGTCATAAACACACCCTCGCGTGTTTCTTGACTCTTAACTGTATTAGTCAGGGGTTGTTAGTGGTGTAAATCAGCTGCAGATTGAATGACCTAATATATATTGAGACAGTTTAAATAAGATAAACTCAACATACCTTCATGATTTCTTGCAGTTAGGCCAAAGGGATAGGGAGGAATCCTATTTGTTTGTAATAGAGTCACAGCTATTAAGAGGTAAATAAGTAAATCATTATATTCCACAATAATAAGAATGACTTTTTCTTAAATTTTGAGAATCATAAGCTGACGTGTGGTAATTTGTCTCAAAAACAAAAGATGAAGTAAAATTGCGATCGAAGTGAAAATGAAGTTGCATACTGGCAGGAACTGATCATCTTGATAAGAAAACAAATTAAATTGGCACTTGATTAATCACAGTACGTTGACAGTTTGTTCATTGTTCCAGACTAGAATAATTTATTTCCTCGTAGAGCCGCCATTACTGTGTAAAGAGTTTTTAAGCCATGTTGACTCTGCATGGCATTACAAAAAAAACCTCTGACCAGTTGGTCACACTTTCGCGTTGATGTCATTCCAGGTCTTGGCAAACAAAGATCTATAAAGTAACCAAACATTTTTTTGCCCGATAACAATCTGAGAGAAAGTTTGGACGAACAAAAATATATTTTGAAACGCACCTTTTGACCAAGATGTTTTTAGTGATCATCGTTCTTGCAGGCGGTGAAGTTTTCAGTAAGTTTTGAAATATTAGACATTCAAAGGCAGCCAAGACTTTACACTTATAAGCATCGGGCCAACCGGCGAGTGACTCTCCATATGACTAATTTGAATCATCTTGTGATGACTTTAACTTAAGTTCAAAAAATGATGTTTTTTCAATGTATTTTGTGTAAAAAAGAAAGAGATGTTATACTTCGGACACCTCAGCTGTTGAACAAAAAATCAGCACTCCCACATTCTATTAAATTAAAGATATTGGTATAAGAAAATTCCAATCACTTACTGCTGCTTATTGTTCTTATACTGTTTTCATGGTTGTTCGATATGATATTATGGCTATAATTATCGACTGAGGTCTTCGCCAAGTATAAATTCAATATTCTAATCAATTAAGTTTAAAAGAAGTGGAATAGAAAAAGTACAGGTATTTCCTTTTTCTAAGCTTCGAAAGGCCGGATCTAAGTCAACTGTCCTGTGTTGGACGCCCTCCTTCGTCTACTGACATCTAAATCTTTAATTCAGGAGCCTTGTTTAGAAATTTTCCAATCGTTTTGTGGGCATTTCATTCGTAGAAATTGCCACTAAAATGGCTCTATTTTGGTTTCTTACTAAATGTCATGATTTCATCTCGTGACACGCATGCTTTAGTTTGGGTGTAATCTACCGCTGACTGGTAGCCGGAAGTGAATCGCCTGATTTTCTTTCCGATCGCTTTCAAATTTCTTCCCTAGAATATCGTTCCCTAAGAAACAGTAACAATAATGCCTATTCTTTTTACACGGCTTCGCAGTGTCGTTTTGTAAATTCGAACCTTCGATGAGACAGCTCTTTTCCTAGGATATTTGAGGTGCCAACGTGGCTACAGAAAACTAGGTTCTTCGGTTGATTCGCCCGATACATGTGTAAATAATGTTTTACATGAAATGCTCAGTTCAAATTACCTTTGCAAGGTTTTGACTATGTTTTGAAGGGATGCAGCAACAGGGCCAGAAAACTCGAACACGTTTCCTTGACGTTGTTATCTCAGTGTTTCAAAGGACCGCCGGAAACTAGGGCCTTAATTACAGTCCAACTTAATTAATATAGGCACTGAGTAAAACTTACCTGTCTTGAAATAATTTTAGATTAATTTTAATCCCTGTTTCAGAGCGTTTAAGTTGCACAAGTAATCCCGTTGTACAGCCTTGGAGGCGAAGCTTGCATAATCAGCTGTATGCAAATAATTTTTCAGCGTGCAATCATTTTAATGCAAAGCACGACATGGACTTTGCCGTAACACGAACTTGATGAATAGAAAAATGCATAATTAAATGGAAAGAGGAATAAGGTGTAAAGCAGATTTGAAACGCAAATAACGTCTACAACGACCAGTTTTCCAAAATATACGTGAAATATACGTGAAAGATACGTGTTTTGATCCATTAACCTGAGCGCTTACTTTCGGTGAAAAATTTCCGTCATATGGTACTGGTATTTTTTTGGCACCAAAAACAGGATCGAGATTGAGTTATTCCACTTACAAATACCGGTAAATTTTTTGCTTTCTCTCGACTTGGAGCGTGGCGCTGATCCAAACAAATAGCACAGAAAATTCCGGTCGTTTCGGTAAAAACGGGAAAAAGGTAATATCTCGAAAGGAATTACTTTTTTTCCGGACAATTTCCACCGGTATGAACCGTTCCATTTGAGTTCTCCTTGGAATCTGATGTATCTAATGATACTTATGCTTTTTGCAGCACTTTGAATTTTGTAAAATAGTTTTATATTGCAGAGCAAATTATTGTATTTACCTGTATTTCTAATAATATAATCTAGACAGACAAGTTTTTGAAATTGAAGAATAAATTCTTTGTGTGTAACAGCTGGAAGTGCTTCCACCTCAAACTTCCTCAGATGAAACTCAGCATCTTTATAACCCTCTACAAACAGCTGAAAAGAGCCAAGCTGAAAAACAAAAAGTTTCCAAAGACATTGGTATTCTGTCCTATATTCACATTGCTCCTTACAAGCTACATATGCAACAATAATTGAAAGTACATGTACACTGTATTCTTGATTTCTAATTTTCAGTTATCAGAAGCAAACTTGAGTTTTCTTTTGATAGATATATGTTGCTGACCAGTAGAAAATTTGGCTTTCTCTACTCACTATGTATGAGGTCACAGATATGGAAAGGAAAGTGCATCAGCCAATGAGAATGCTGGATTTGCAGTACATGTGTACATGTTCCATGAACATTCTTAAATAATTCATAGTTCTTAGACTCAGGTATTTATACAAACTAAAATGGTAAGACCTTGCATGAATTAATTTGCTATAAAACAGAACGTGTAGATTTTCTTATTTGGAATGACTCAACGGTTCTTCCAGAGAGGTTATGTGAGGTCTTAGGAATGGTGATGAACAGTGGGTATGTTGTCAGGGTTCTATCTACAGCTGTAGGATGGCCACGAGCTTCCTGGGGGGTCAGAGGGCATGGCCCTTCAGAAATTTTCTGAAATGAATATGTGCTGAGACACAATCTGGTTCATTTTGAGACACAAGTGAGAAATGTTACAGTATGTGCACTGACCTTGTTGCATCTGGATGATTTTTCTGATATAGTTACTTATATACTGTAATGATAACAATATTTATTGCCAAAAACAAGAGGAAATGAAACTTAAACCAAGGATAAAATTGAACCAAAACATATATATATATACAATGTCAACTAGACTGAACATGTATTCTAAAACAAGAGTAATGATCTGTGTAAAGGTCTTTTCGTTATTTTACTTAGGATTTGCATTAATGCAATACATGTATTGATAACAGACATGTTATACTTTTTAGCAATATCATGAATAAAAAAGGTCCCTTGATTGTTTGCTGTGACCAAGATACCCAAAAGCATGAAGAACATTGTATGCTTACACTTTGTAACCTTACTAAAAGCCACACCTTAGCAGGTAGTCCGGCTTTAACATGCTTTCCTAAAGTATCTGGAAATCTTTCTGTTGCAAACTTTTTTGACCTTGCCTTTGCACGATCAAATGCAGTGTAATTAAATGTTGGACTAGCAAGTCTTACGACCTGAAAGAAAAAAGAAAGTACAGTGTTTTTAAATCTAATAATCTGTATACTTTATGCTTTTTAACCTAAATCCAGGTTCAAGCCTTGCCACCATATTTTTAGTATATGTTGTTCGTATATGTTGTAGTTTTTTTTTATCGCAGGTAATTTTTATTTTTCTTTGTTTCAACTTCATAAGCATACCTTACCATAACCAAAAACAAAAGAAAAACAAAAATTACCTGGGATAAAAATTAACTGTGACATATACACGTTCAGGTCACCCTAAGAGGAATAGTTGAGGTCATAATATCAGAAGCCATGCACAATAATTACTATGTACATGTAAATAGCAATTAAACATGAATGAACATCATTCTTTATGACAAAATGTGTACCTCACCAAGAGGCATTAACCTGTTGGCAGTAGTTATTGGCTGTCACCTTTGTTTTAGGGACAACAGTAAGACCAAGTTTACCATCAACCAGTCAGATAAATACCCCTGATTTGGAATTAAACAATTTCTACCAAAACTGAAGGACAACAAATTTTGTGACACCATTTTTGGCTCTCACCTTTGTTTTAGGGACAACATTAAGACCAAGTTTACCATCAACCAGGCTTGCTCCTGCCTCAGATAAATATCCCTGATTTGGAATTAAACAATTTCTACCAAAACAGCAAGGACAACAAATTTTGTGACACCATTTTGTCCATTTAGGGTTCAAGTGTCCATAAGGTTCCTCATCCTTGGGTTTGAATACACCAATCTTTTTCTGCAAATAATACCGTGTAAAACACTTTAAACACTTAAAGAAAATATTGGTGCACCTGCGCGCAAACGATGGCAAGCTCCTAATAATTACAGCCCCCAAGATGCACTTATGAGAAACAATTAAGTCTTAAATTTTATATAAACAAACAAATTCATATAACATGTACATGTATCAGCTATGCGTTTCACATACAATGGTAAATATTATTTATCAATAATATATGAGTTAAATATTAATTCCACAGTTTTAACAACGACAAACGTGATAAAGTTTGCAAGAAATTGCATGGCACCCAGCAACAATTCTTTCAAGCAAATGTCAAAAGTATAAAACCTGTTTCAATGCCCACATGCGACCATGACCTTGCATAAAACGAAACCGGAACTGAAAGTTAAGTTAATTTAGAAAATTAAGTAAGATAACACACCACAAATTTAACCATATTTGTCTGTTATGGATCTCCATACCGTCTGCCACGGCGTGTAGAGATAGGAGTTATATAAGCTGCAAAAACTAAAAATCACTGAGAACTTACCCCTTCCCTGTCCTTCACAAAGTAACTTCCACTCGACCCCTGGTAAATTCGTTCGGGCAAAATGCCTACATCGATCGCTTGTTCGGCCGCATGTATGATGCCTGTAAACTCAGGATCATCGAAATTGTTTCCTTGGTATTCAGAATCACTGTGACTGTCCATTCGTGATCTAGATCTGCCAAGTAAAGGTCTCTGTTCAGAAGTTCTGTTATCGTAATAATGCGAGCCGCCGACAATAGCTGTACTGTAACTCGCCGGGTCGGCGTGATAAGGAACTACATCGGGCCCATTAGGGCGGCCGTCGGAGACGAAATCGATCAGTGGACGCCCTCCTTCGTCTACTGACATCTAAATCTTTAATTCAGGAGCCTTGTTTAGAAATTTTCCAATCGTTTTGTGGGCATTTCATTCGTAGAAATTGCCACTAAAATGGCTCTATTTTGGTTTCTTACTAAATGTCATGATTTCATCTCGTGACACGCATGCTTTAGTTTGGGTGTAATCTACCGCTGACTGGTAGCCGGAAGTGAATCGCCTGATTTTCTTTCCGATCGCTTTCAAATTTCTTCCCTAGAATATCGTTCCCTAAGAAACAGTAACAATAATGCCTATTCTTTTTACACGGCTTCGCAGTGTCGTTTTGTAAATTCGAACCTTCGATGAGACAGCTCTTTTCCTAGGATATTTGAGGTGCCAACGTGGCTACAGAAAACTAGGTTCTTCGGTTGATTCGCCCGATACATGTGTAAATAATGTTTTACATGAAATGCTCAGTTCAAATTACCTTTGCAAGGTTTTGACTATGTTTTGAAGGGATGCAGCAACAGGGCCAGAAAACTCGAACACGTTTCCTTGACGTTGTTATCTCAGTGTTTCAAAGGACCGCCGGAAACTAGGGCCTTAATTACAGTCCAACTTAATTAATATAGGCACTGAGTAAAACTTACCTGTCTTGAAATAATTTTAGATTAATTTTAATCCCTGTTTCAGAGCGTTTAAGTTGCACAAGTAATCCCGTTGTACAGCCTTGGAGGCGAAGCTTGCATAATCAGCTGTATGCAAATAATTTTTCAGCGTGCAATCATTTTAATGCAAAGCACGACATGGACTTTGCCGTAACACGAACTTGATGAATAGAAAAATGCATAATTAAATGGAAAGAGGAATAAGGTGTAAAGCAGATTTGAAACGCAAATAACGTCTACAACGACCAGTTTTCCAAAATATACGTGAAATATACGTGAAAGATACGTGTTTTGATCCATTAACCTGAGCGCTTACTTTCGGTGAAAAATTTCCGTCATATGGTACTGGTATTTTTTTGGCACCAAAAACAGGATCGAGATTGAGTTATTCCACTTACAAATACCGGTAAATTTTTTGCTTTCTCTCGACTTGGAGCGTGGCGCTGATCCAAACAAATAGCACAGAAAATTCCGGTCGTTTCGGTAAAAACGGGAAAAAGGTAATATCTCGAAAGGAATTACTTTTTTTCCGGACAATTTCCACCGGTATGAACCGTTCCATTTGAGTTCTCCTTGGAATTTCCGGGTTTTCCATACAAAAGGTAAGCGTTCCCTATGTCAGTATGAAGATTTACAGGTATTCATAGTGCCAAAGGATCAGAGTATTGTACATAAAGTAAAAACATAATAACAAGATAACCTCCGAAGAGAAGGTGGTGAGGGAAAAAACTCAGTTGTGAACGAACCGCGAATCCATAAAAGAATTAGCTGAGAAAAAGCGGTGTGTATTAGGGGAGCACATGTGAACAATAAACTTGTGATAACGTGAAAGAGGCCTTTGGAGAATTCAGTGTTTTTCCGATAACTGTGTTATTTGTCTGGAGGGAACGAAAACTTGAAGTAACACAGGTGGGGTTTGTTCTTTGTTGCTCCTGTTCTTAAGACTGAATTTCGGATTTCTTCACTGTTACTGAATAACACACGAGAGCGCTGTATGTTGACTCTAAGTTGCCTAGTTCCTAGGCCTCAGTATTCCGCACGGCCAAAGCGTTTCGGGTCACGTGGTCGAAGCGAAAATGTGTCGCCTTGGATGAAAATCCTTCAATAAGAACGACCGAGACCCGGTTTTATGAGCCAGCGAGACTGAGCACCCCACCCAAACCCTTGTTTTCACTAAAACCGCTGGACGCCACAACTTGGTTGAGGTCGTTGTTATCTAAGGTCTCTCGCCTCGCATACGTCACCGAAGTGAATTGACAAAGAGGGAGTGGGAAAACGCAGTACAGGGTCTAGGCAACACTCTAAGTATGTAATCAGGAACTTTCCCCTCCCCCAGGTCTCACCAGCTCTTATAGTAAAAGAGTACTGCACGGCCCAATCTCGTGAACTAATTTCTACAGCCTGAATAATATATTACTATGAAATATTATTTTTAAATACTATGAAACTGAAATCAACGGCTGCATTTTTATATAACTAATACAGTTCTAAACATTTCGTGAACTGATTTTTCTTAGCTTGTAGACTGTCAACAAACTAGTTCTATGTCGCAGACGCTGTCAGTAAGTTTATTGGTTATTTATTAGCTACTCAGTTGAAATTGAAGTTAGGGTTCGTATACGGATCTGAAACTGAGACCACGTAAGGTTAGTTGCATATATGTCAAGATTAATTACTCAACACACTGTCTCAACCAGGCTGACCACCCAACAGTAATTGGCCAATCACAGGTCGCATTCATGAGAGAGTATGTCTGGCGTTGTTATTCAATAAAAACTAAGAATATTTCTTTCATTTCCCTAAAGTGTTTACTGAAGATCGCTTTAATGTTTTGGATCACAAATAGCCGGGCTGACCCGGATGATCAAACGTATAGTACCACTGCATGAGCAGGATTTTAATTTCCGCTTGCTTGCTGGAACAGGCTTTGTTTAGTAAAGACAAGTAAAACTGCACACTGATGACTGAGTTCTTTGTATGTTTCATGGCGATCATTTCTTCTATTCACGTGATATGTCCCTTCGTGTGATGGTTCTTAGGGTTTGTTTTGTATGAAGTGACCCAGCCCGTTTAGCCGGGCTAGTTCGGCTCATCTCTTGTTTCCTCGTCATAATATTGTCGTATGTTTATATGAGAAGGCGGGCTGGCCCACTCCGGCCGAGATCTCGGTTTCTCGAGCCTTCTCATATAAACACAACGACAATTTTAAGACGAAACTAGGTGGGGCGAGCGACCCCTGCAAAGCGGGACAGCCCGGCTAAACGGGCTGCCTTACTTCATATAAACAGGCCCTTAGGCAGGCTGTTTTAGACAAAAAGAATTGCAAGTCATTACGTAAATGAACTAAACAAAGACAACATCTGTCAAACATCTTTGCTCATAAATGAATCATCATCGTCGACATCATCTGTCTCGAATTCTTCTTCATCACCTGCTTCGGAGTCCTCCTCATCGGATTGAGCGTCAGAGTCTCCACCATCTTTTGAAGCGATTCGGTTATAAATCCAAGGATACATCTCACACTCACAGCAAGACCTTAGTTCCTGAGCGTATGACTCCCACACTTCTTTGTAAACAGTTTTTCCCACAACGATGCTTAACAGTTTGTCTTCCACAAACTCGCCTTGAAATCTCAAAAACGATAAATGCAATGTCCGCTGGAAGCATAACCCCATCTTTGCGGCGCATTGATGGTCTGCGTCGTCACAAATTACTTCATTTATGTATCTGGGGAATTTGTCTTTGCCGAGATTCGTGGTTGCCGAACATTCGGTGCATAATCGATGAAGATTAGTTTCATATACTTTTGTGCCTCGACCTTCGCACTGACGAATTTCAGTGCCGGTAGGGGAGCTGGTGGGGCCATCCCTTTGATGAAGCAAATCTGATTTAAATTTTGTTGCTTGAGATTTGCTTGAAAAACGTAGCTTTTTCGATTTCTTTGGAGTATTTGTTTCTTCGTTTTGAAAAGTTGTCAAATCTTCAAACTTGGCTGCATCTGATTTGTTCACTGCCACATATCTTTTTAAAAACCCTCCAGCAGATTCTAGTTGTTTCAGTAGCTCTTCGGATGTTCTTCGCAAGCATACGACTGGTCCAGGCTCGTCTTGAATTCGAGAAACCCTTGTGTGGTTCCGACAGATTTTCTTTCCTAACGATGGTATATTAGTGATCCTTGTAGGGGGATTTGTTGTTGGATTCCTACTTCGATGTTTGTATTTTCTCCTAGTCCGCGTACGTCGCACGTGAGCTATCCAGCCTTTTGATACTCCACGAACAGTACTTCGTGGCTCGTTTTTGACTTTATTTTTCATCTTTTTTTCTCCATCTTTAATTCCACCTGGATGAAAACTAGCACTGTATACCACGATGAGGCTCGCAATTAGAAGAAAGATTCTTACAGGACTGAATGCTCTAGGCTGAAAGAATAAGTTAGGAGGATGCTTTAAAAAAGACACGAGACAATTTTAAACTTACTTAACCGGCGTCACGAAAGTCTACACGAATGCCATTAAATTCAAGTACTGTATCTTTGTAACGCTTGATAGCAAACGACTGACGCAGAAGGGCAAGAAAACTAAAGAGATTACACCATTCAAAAAGCTAATATTCTTTTCTTTCAAGGTTCCACTGCGTCGTTTTTCATCCAGTTAGGTGTATTTTGTACCATGTGACCGTTTCATTCTGCAAAGAGCCCATTATACAACGCCTCATTCAATTCATATTCCTGGATCTCCTTTAGGACTGGCACGATTGAAATAAGTTCGACCGCTGATCGGTGCGTCACCCCCAAAGTCGAGCTTTGTGTTAGTCATGACGATCACATAACATTCGTACCTGGCCACGTTTTCACTTTCTTCACGTCAGATATGGCATGCATTACATAAAGGCTCTTATTTTCGTGAGTTCAAATGATATTGCGAGAGAGAGTCTAACATCGCTTATTTATTTGCCACCCCACGTAATGATCAACTCGTCATAAACACACCCTCGCGTGTTTCTTGACTCTTAACTGTATTAGTCAGGGGTTGTTAGTGGTGTAAATCAGCTGCAGATTGAATGACCTAATATATATTGAGACAGTTTAAATAAGATAAACTCAACATACCTTCATGATTTCTTGCGGTTAGGCCAAAGGGATAGGGAGGAATCCTATTTGTTTGTAATAGAGTCACAGCTATTAAGAGGTAAATAAGTAAATCATTATATTCCACAATAATAAGAATGACTTTTTCTTAAAATTTTGAGAATCATAAGCTGACGTGTGGTAATTTGTCTCAAAAACAAAAGATGAAGTAAAATTGGGAAGTGAAAATGAAGTTGCCGTGACTGGCAGGAACTGATCATCTTGATAAGAAAATTAAATTGGCACTTGATTGTTCATAGTACGTTGAGAGTTTGTTCATTGTTCCAGACTAGAATAATTTATTTCCTCGTAGAGCCGCCATCACTGTGTAAAGAGTTTTTAAGCCATGTTGACTCTGGCATTGCAAAAAAATCTCTGACCAGTTGGTCACACTTTCGCTTTGATATCATTCCAGGTCTTGGCAAACAAAGATCTATAAAGTAACCATACATTTTTTTTTCTGGTAACAATCTGAGAGAAAGTTTGGACGAACAAAAATGTATTTTAAAACGCACCTTTTGACCAAGATGTTTTTAGTGATCCTCGTTCTTGCAGGCGGTGAAGTTTTCAGTAAGTTTTGAAATATTAGACATTCAAACGCAGCCAAGACTTTACACTTATAAGCATCGGGCCAAACGGCGAGTGACTCTCCATATGGCTAATTTGAATCATCTTGTGATGACTTTAATTTAAGTTCAAAAAATGATTTTTTTCAATGTATTTTATGTAAAAAAGAAAGAGATGTTATACTTCTGACACTTCAGCTGTTGAACTGAAATCGGCACTCTGACATTCTATTAAATTAAAGATATTGGTATAAGAGAATTCCAATCACTACTGCTGCTTATTGTTCTAATACTGTTTTCATGGTTGTTCGATATGATATTATGGCTATAATTATCGACTGAGGTCTTCGCCAAGTATAAATTCAATATTCTAATCAATTAAGTTTAAAAGAAGTGGAATAGAAAAAGTACAGGTATTTCCTTTTTCTAAGCTTCGAAAGGCCGGATCTAAGTCAACTGTCCTGTGGCAGAACTAACAGAAGATTCACTTTCCCTGATAATGCGGAAGCTTTATAAAATAATTAAGAATCAATTATACATTTAAAAATGGATACCATAGCTAATTACAAGCGAACCCAACAACCCCCAAGCTAGAAAGATTCTAAAGACCAAGACTTGTCAAGACTGACTAATTAGAACTGTGAAGAATTAATTCTCACCAGTCAGTTTCTTGTCCAAATTGATACAAACAAAGGGAAGACGGTCGAGTCCGGTGGAGTAAATTAACTCTCTAAACAACAGGAATTCAAGTCCACACTTTTGTACAGGAATAGAAACACCTAATATATATCAAGTGATGTAAATGGCCACTGAAAAGGAAAATCTATTTTGGACTATAGTTTCACATTCTATTTTCAACAGAATGCCATACAAAAGTTCTAATATAGCTGACCTCTCTTGTTCCAGTCTTGAGTTTTTTACTTTTTCAACTCAAGACTTTTTTTACTTAGGAAAGAGAAAGTGTGCAAAGAAAGAAAAAGAAAAAGAACATAGTTAAGTTTAAGTTCGTAGGAAAAATGGAGAGGTACTCATGACTTATGGTCATAGTCTATTGCTTCATAACTCATTCAATTAGCCTCTTTTTCCACGTGCAATATCAAATGACCGAGGTTCACATATAAGAGATGAAATTCACAACAGATCTTCGAAACAATAGTATGTCACAAAGACTAAGCTGTGGACTGGGGGATGTAGCCTCTGTTTTTAATTGCGCGGGTGGTTTGTATGTTAACGGTTATTCGACTTTTCATGACACATCTCTCCATGTATACAGCTGTGTATACATCTATAGTACATACACAACGTGATACACATACGCGACAACTGGGATAAACTGCGTTATCTTAAACTTATGATAAATCAAAATATTAATATTACTTAATCAAAAGAGATTTGTGCGGATGAGCGCCATGGCACTTCCGAGTTCCAAAAACCCTCAATTTCTAAGGCCCAGTTCAGACGTCGTGCTTCTGCCGTGCCGAACTTAATTTTAATTCGGTTCGACTGTAGCACGGCAGGAGAACAACTTTGATTCAGACGTCGTGCCAGAGTCGAACCAAATTCAGGATTTACTGATGCCTCGTAACAATTCCCCTTCTAACTCCCCGTGGGAACGCAATCTCGCCAAAATACGTTAATATAATGTATGAATTTTGCTTAGCGCGGCAGAAGCACGACGTTTGAATCGCTTGCGCGCCAGAGCCGTGTAGCACGGCAGCGCTTGTTGAACTTAATTGCTTTCCGAACTTAATTCAAAAGTTTGATTCACACGCTGTGCATCTGCCGTGCTTTTGTCGAACTTAATCCCTGAATTTAGTTCTGCACGGCAGAAGCACGACGTCTGAACTGGCCCTAAGTGCACAACGTTTCTTGTAAAAATGAGTTTTATTTGCATGAGAATGAAAAATGATTTCCATATCAAAGGGTGAGCATGCACCTACCCTCGTTTTGAAAAAGAGGCCTGGGGAACTCGGAAATGGCTTATTGGCTCGCTAGAACAAGAGCAAATCAAATCCAACTTTTATAATAATATTTCCTTTCTCGATGAAAAAGGAAATCGTTTTCTCACTCGCATGCATGACCTAAAGAGAAGAACAAGTTGCGAGGTTTTACATATCAAGATAAATGTCGCATCAGAGTTGCACGGTGATATTGTTTCAAAGTTAAGTTATAAAATAAACTTTTAACAACTATTGAGTGTACTGGCTCATCTGGATCTGACGTCAGCTAGTCCTAGCCTTTAATGGACACGATTTTTGTTTATATATACGTTAGCTGAATTTCCGTGATTTCGGCTCAGAACGTGTTATCATGAAGCAATGAACATTGCGTGGTCCCTCGATAATACTGAAACAATAACAGAGACATTGAGTTACTTATGAATCAAAGTTGATCCAATATTATGGAAATATTATGGCACTATGGAGATGGAAAATATGGTATTTTTGGGGTAAAGTAGATGCATACTAAAAAAAATCACTGAAATGGCATAACTAAACACAGAATCAAACAATTTAACTCAATTGAAGACTTGGCCATCCAATTAGGTCAATAACAAATAAACGTAGATACAACTAAGTTTGACTATGGAGATTTCTACCGCACAGGTTGTCTAAACCTCGGTGGCCCTGTGACTGTCCACAACATTCCTGTTGGGGACTACACCCTCTTAGATGACCTTGATCGTTACAATTTAGTTATAGCATTACTCCTAGGTTCAAAACATTTACTGAATATAAAAACTATACAAGACAGGTTTAGCCGTTGTCAGCATTTTAATTGTACCAGCAAGTAGGAATAGTTGAAATCGCTGCTTTGCAGTTCAGTTGTGTAGCAGTTTATTATGTCTTATTAATTATTTGAATTTCCTACTGGTACAGCAGAAATATTCTTTAAGAAAAATAGACAAAAGGCTAGTCATCAAGTTTTAAAAGAAGGTACATTTACAAATATTAGCATTTTAAGGTAAAGTAATTACTTGTTCATTGCGGTAATAGGCCACTGATCTGAATAAGAATACCGATACAAAACTATTGACTTTCATAATTAGCCACTGTACATCAGTGTGCTGCGTAAAATGCTTGTAAAACGGGGACTGTCAGCATCTACTTTCTGTATACAAAGTAGTATCAAAGGTCAAAATGCTTATTGAAACTTATTAAATTTTGTCGATTCACACAAATGCACGCAGCATAATCAAGTTTTCATTTTCATGTATGTTAGAAATCTCAGCAGGACGTATTCTATTTAGATTCCGGGTTATGCCGATTTTACTAACATTTTTCGTGAAAATATGCATCGTAGGATGAAACTCGATCTGCATAATTCTTCTGACCATACGACAAACGAATCCAATCGTTGTTTTATTATCCATTCAAGACAGTTTCTCGATCGATGCTTATTCACCGTCTTCATTTAATTTACCTCTTTCTCGACAAATCCAGTATACAAATTAAAAAGAAGTTTAGTCTTGAAGATATTCTTCAAACAGCACACTTCGAGTTGTATTTGATGTTTTCTTGCGTACATTTTCCTGGCGAAACGTGTAAACTTTTCAGCCATTTTCTACAGTTGTACAAATCAAACTAGTCCCCAGCGCTTGTTGGTTGCGGTCCCTCAGTTTCAGGCGTTTATCTTGTAGACTGTATTGACGTAATTTTATCCGATCTCGCCAGTATTCCAAATTTAATTTTTTTCAACGTTTGCTGGCTATGATGACTTGAGCCAAGTAGAAAGATCGAGATCTCCATAATTCTTCAGGTGATACGAAAGCCAAAATGAAATTCAATAATTGTTTTAATCAGGAGCCCATTAAATGGAGCCTCCATCTCCCATACATGCCCTTGGAGCCAACCCTTTCCCGAGTAGATTTATAATTAGAACGGTTCCCAGGGGAGACTTCGCGCGCCGACGGAGGGAAGAACCAATCACAACAACGAAATGACACTGCTATTGTACTTCATCGAACAGCAGGAAATTCGGTGTTGACAGGCCAAACACAATCATAAGCTAGTGAAACGTGACTTTAGCGTTTTCATCTCTCAGAGATTTTCTTTCTTTTCTTTCTAGTGGGTAGATTATACTGTGGAGAGTTTTACACTCTGACAATGTTAATCTTCATTTCGGTTGCTTGTCTCACAGTTAGAGGCTATGAAGCTGGTCTGTTACATGCATAATGATTAACTACTACCTGCAGTCTGTAGTTCTGACAGGATTCGTTTTCTTTAGTCAATTTTTTTGAGCGTTAAGGTTCTTATTTCGGCTAAATGACTGAAATGACTCAATATTAATCAAATTTCTAGTTTTTCAAGCCTTTTTTTTTCCGAAATGCGTTTATCTAAAAAAATACTTGTAGTCCTTGTGGTTGTTTTGTCCGTCAGCTAGTGTGATGATTCCCTGCTATGTTTTGTAACGCCGGGCCCAGCCATTGTTTTCTCGCAAAAAAGTGATCCACAGATGCGAATTCGGAGGAAAAAATTAAGCCTAAACTTCTGCATTAACTGCTGAGAATTGTCCAGTTAGTCAGTCATGATTCTTTTGGCGCAGATACAATCCATTTTGTTTTTCTTGAGATAAGTGGGTCTTTGGACTGGAGCGCGATGTCACAAATTCCTCCGTTAGTAAATTATTCACGGTCGAGCAACTGTTGTCTTCTGTTCAACTTTGCAAGTGCAAGTTTTATCAGGCAACTCTCATGGTGATACAAGTCAGTTGTAAAGGAAGACTGCAATTTCGCAAATTTCGGAACTGAAGCATCCCTCGTTAGTTGCTACTTAGGTCATCGCTTTTTCACGCGGTGCTTAACTGGCGAAATCCACTCCACGGGGATGACAAAAATCAAATGATCCTGGCACTTTTTCGGTGCTGATCATCTAAAAGTTCCAAATCGTCCACAGAACGCTTAATCATCGACTCTTTTCAAGGTGCATGCTTAAATGTGGGATGTAAAGCGGCAAAAAAAAAAAAACACTCGCAATGATAACCTTTCCGTGACCCTCAGTTCGCTGCCTTTGTCCCATCGCTTCATGCTCAGTCTCAGTCGGGTAATTCATTAACTTTTATTTCATGATACCCAGATCCCAACAGCTGTAAAATTGTAAAAATGGACGTATAGTAAAAAAGGAAAACGGTCGAAGGACGGGCTTATGAGTTCGACTCCATTCAACTTCATTTTTTTCACGGTGACATACGAGACTCACGGAAATATGACACTTTTCGCGGGAAACAAGCCGTTCTATTTATAAATCTACTCGGGAAAGGGTTGACTCAAGAAATTAATGGAGATGGAGGCTCCATTTGATGGGCTCCTGTTTTAATTCATTCAATGTAAAATAAGCTAAAACATGCTTACCTCCATCGATGTTAAGTTCATCTTCGATAGTGTGTGTTTATCGGCACTTTTAGGGGATAAAGGGATATCATTTCCGCAAATATTCTCCAAATAGCAGATGTCGTCCGTCAATTGTCTTCTGCTGCCCTTGCTATATTTTTAGCCAATAGTTCGCCTATTTCCTTCTTGTGAAACAACTGAAATGCTCTTCCACTTTGTGCTCACTACCAACTCAACCTCGTCCCCAGGTATCCTCGGGTAACTGTTCAATAATCTGGCAATTTTGTTGCACACTTTACGTCATTTTTCACATATATATCGAATGAATAATAGTAATGATTATTGCCTTACAAAAGAGCAGTTTCTTATTTTTGTCGTTCAAGGAAGTCGTCTATAGAGAGGTTAAGCTTCGCGTTGACGTCAAAAGGAAACGCGAATTTGCACCACGTGACCAAGTTTCCCCTTTACTTGTCGTTTCCTGTTCATTATTTTTATTCACGCAATTTTCATCCATAAGAATTGCTTTGAACCGTTTTTATCTGCTCATTTTCTGTTTTGGGAAATTCTCAACTTGAATCTGACGTTTGCCGTTTACGCGAAGCTTAAACTCTCTTATAAAAGCAGGATACCAGAATAGGCCATTTTACAGTTGTGGGCTTGGTGCCCTAGCCTTTGAGAGAACGTGAGGCTGAGGTTGACCTTGTTTTGATACAAACCTCATTCCTTTTATAATGTAAATTTTGCTTAAAATATACTCGTTAACATAAGAAAGACATGATTTAAATAATAAAGCAGGAAGAGCTGTATCAAAACAAGGTCAACTCCAGCCTCGCTTCCAACTGTCACTGTAAAATGGGCTATTAACAATTCTACATTCATTAATTTTTTTCATTGTGTAATATTGCGCCAGACAAAAACAACAACAACATCTTTTTTTTAAACACGGTCGGATTTTAAGCTAATATAGCTTATGGGGACGTATAAAAAATGTTAATAGGATAAAAAAAATTAAAAATACACCAATAACGATGAAAAATACACTAGCGTCGATGTATTAATTAAAAATATGAATGTTGTCCATATATATATATATATATATATATATATATATATATAGAAAAAACAGTCTATTTAAGTTGACCTGCCAACGAAAAACCAGGGGGAAGGTTGGGTAAAACCCCTTTTAATCTGTTTCAGATAATTTTCCTGAAACAATTCAGTATCTGAGAATCAATACCAAAAGGGGAAAACGTCAAGGAATAAGCCCTTTCTTGAGATGAACACGACCATAATTAACGGAAGAGTAACAATTTTTTTGCATGTTGTGTCCAGGCTCTACAATAACTGATTTATTTTGGTTTTGATTTTGCTCCTTTGATATCGGTTTGACAAAAGGTTATTTTAGAAATTAAAAAGTCAAGCTTTCTAAATCCCCCTAGCATTCATCTCTCTCTCTCTCTCATGCGATGACCAGTTCCATATCAACAACACAAATGACACGATTAATAGAATCAGAATGGGAGTGAATCTTTGAATGCAGGTACAAAACAATGACCAGATTTTAATTTCAAATGTGTGAATGGTAAGCAGTATTATTAGGACTGTTTGAAGTAAACACCACACCTTGACGACTCTCTATTTTCGGATACACTGGTAACTAACAGGAGGGTGGTAAATTTTATTTGTTTATAAGAAGGGAACAAATAAACAATTCGTTATATCTTAAAATAGGAATTGACCTTTTTTTAAATTTCAAGAATAGAATTCAATTCAATTCAATTCTTTATTTAACACTACATAAGATATTTACACAAGTGTAGGTAGGAAAATAAAGTAACTGATAAACAATAATTAACTAAAAGACATTAAGTTCATTTGTGTACAGTGTCCAAAGTAGAAAGAGCTTTCTTGTTGGACACCGTCATGTTCAGATAATCGGCAACAGTAAAGAGAGGAAACAAAATCTCAGATAATATAATCAGTGATAGCCGACATATAAGCGAGGTCACATTTGGTTGGTTAGAAGACAGGACTTCCATTCTTTCTTAAACGTATGATATGGCAGACACTTGAGGCCAAGCGGTACAGTCTCCCAGATTTTTGGAGCGGAGAATTTAAAGGATTAAAATCTTGTGTAGTCAGTTGTTTTGCTGTCATTGTTGATCAATCTCGAATCAGTCTATTCGAACTAAAAGAGAAAATGCAAACAAAAACAATAATATAATTATTATTGAGTGAATAGCTGACTTGGGATCGTAATATAAAAGGGTAATGGTCAACTGGTAACACTTATATGTTGATGGCATTCAAAATCTCATTCTTTTCTAGTATAAAAGGAACAAACCTATATTTATTTAATAGTAACTGTTTTTCTTTTCTTTTTTCTTAGACGCATTTATTTTTAATAGTTGTGTAAATCAGCGTCGTTACTTATCAACTTCGCCCAGTTGTTACTCAAATTGTCCAGCCAAGTGTAAAAAATCCGAGTCCTCGAATTAAGGAAGCTGGAACCTATAGTAGGCTTCATGTGACTTCAGGAAGTACTCTGTATTGATCCCATGACAAGACAGGATTAAATAATGGGTACGAAACCAATACGTCGAGTAACTTTTAAAAAGGCGGGGTTAATTTTGAGTTTACGTACTTGTCTTGCAGACAACGAATATAATAACAGAATATAGTTCTCCGACAATATATTATCCATGGCGTCCTACAGTCTATTCGCGTTGATCTCCCGACAGAAAACTCCGTGAAAACAGACATAAAGCAGGGGAAACCCCTTTCCCGGCAATCAATCAACCGGCATGACAAAATTTAAACTCGCTAGTCCAAAAACATTTTGTTGACAAATGTATTTAGAAGTTTGGCATCTCACTTGAAAATAACGTTCTGCAGTTGCTTTCATGTGTAGATTTGAAAAACACGCATGTAATTAATAAGTGGAACTTTTAAAATATTTCAGAAAGACGTTTAGACTCCGTTTTCAACGAGAGTGTTTTTACTTGAAGTTTGTAGAACCACTTCTTTAATGTATAGCGTTGGTTCTTATGTCTTGAGGTTTCCTTGCAGAAAAGTAACAGAACATTTCCAGGCTGGTTAACCGATAACCAAAAAGATAGAAGTGCCAGTCCCTGAAGTGTTTGACTATTATATTTACATCCATTACAGTTTCACGACGAATATACTTTAAGGGCAAATATAAACAAATATCAGCATTGGCACTACCTGAAAAATTTGCTTGCGTAATAAGATTAAAACCCTCATCCTAAGCTTACACCAGTGACGTCATTAAAAATGCGTAGGTTTGACGAAACCTCCATTTCACAAGCAGTCATCGCCCCAGAGAGGCTCAATAAGAATAAAAACTGTTAGGTAACAAACATGAAATAGAACTGATGTTTTTAAACAAACAAAAGCGTTCAGTAATTATTAATGTTGACTAAAGTTGAATTACTATTCGGTTGACTTTTTATGGAACGACCCAGTCGGTTGTCAACCCTATAGTAAAGATTCAATGTCATCAAACGATTATTGTAAATTACACTTTTGAACTCCGGCTAGAGTTTTTCAGAAAAAGAAACTTTGTTAGACTATGGACGGTTATGGTGCAGATTTTCTCTAGAATCCAGTGCTCAAAGCAAGTTTAGACAGCGGTTTAAGCTAACCCATTCACCCAACATTGCAAGCCAGATGTAACCTCTGCCCACCTTGACTAACTTTTGCTTAACAGTTGGGTAGTGATGAAGTGTATTAAAATACTTGGTAATAGCAATAAAATTAAGTGAATTAAGCCCATTTTCGTGGGTTGAGTTGTTGAACGTCCGAAATTTTCAATCAGGTGATTAAAGGGAATATTATTTAAGAACTGAGTAGCCGTAAGCTGCGGTTATAAACGTTAGTTAACGTTGTAAAAATCTTCTACAAAATTTTCCTGATAATATGAATTGAACACACAAAATGCACATGCAGTTTTCTATCCAATAAAATATTTTTCGCTTGACACATAGTTGATGTGTAATTTCTTATGATTTGACAAAACTCCCTGGGTAATAATATCTCCTCGCATGACGTACAGGTCCTTTTTCATCATTGGAACTAACATACATTGTTACTCTTGTTTATAAATGGCTAATCCATCAACTTCAAGTTATAACTACCAATAATCTTCCAAACACATATCTGGATATTAAGCTTTTATAATTGTCATAAATAACAGTCATTCATAAACTTTCACATTAGTTGCCGAATAGGCGCCGATGATTTTCGAATCGAAAATCTAAAAGTACTCTGAATTTGAACAGTAACACCCGGTTTGATTTTTCGAAAAAAGAGAAGACTTTCAAAATTACAGCAAAATTTGGTAAGGTAAGAGATTTTGTTACTTATTTTAAGTTTACAATATTTGAAATGGGTTTCTTAAGATAATCCCGATTTGCAATATAATTACCGCGAAAAAATAGATAAGTAAACTGTTAACCTAGGTCATTGTTACCTTAACTTGCTTATTGAATATAAGTTGCTGCTCTCAAGCACATTTGTGTCCTTATCTTAATAACCGCCCGGTGTTATTTTTCTAAAACAGTGTTCATCGAGTGTTTTTTGCTGACTTTAGTTTAGAGGTAAGGTTGTCTATGATCTGCATAATATTAATATTAATTGTGAGGATTTTTATTGTTTTAAGCTTCCCGTATATCCACTCTTACCCATGGAAATGCGTTTTTTCATTATGTTTTGGTTAAAAACCACTTATTATAAGAAATAGACCACACTTTCTATGGGTTTACCGGTGTGATAACCCACGCGGGATGTTGGGAGAACACGAGAAAAGCTTGTAAATCACGATCGAACCGAAGGCGAGTGATTTTCAAGCTTTTCGAGTGTTCTTCCAACATCCCGCGTGGGTTGTCGCCTCGGTAAACTCATAGAAAGTTTGATCTATTGCTTTTATAAAATAACTTTAAGTTTGCTATGAGTTTACCGGCACAATAAACCATTGGTTTTTAACCAATCAGAACGCGCGTTCTATCTTACTTATTTTATAAATTAAGGATGTTATTTAACTATGTTTCTTTTAAAAGTTAGATACAGTCAACTCGCTCTAAAAAGGACACATTTGCATTGGGACC